ATTTGCGTTAGTCATATATACAGTTCTGTGCAACTATATAAAGCAGTTTAATGTGTTGAATCGAAGCTGCATGCTCAACCCTATTACTGAGCACTTGTTTTTGCACTTATAATGCGTATCCAGGGCAAGTGTGAAATCAGCATTCTTACTTCAGTGTCGGACCCAAGGGCTCTATCACACCACCGTTCCTGGACACAATGGGCATCTGATCCTCAAACTTTCCTGACCCCACAATAATTAGTGACACGACCAGCACCACTACCAATGCACACTTCTTTGACACCAGCTGTATGCCAAGCACTGCACACCACTTCATTGTGATGTGGTCTTTGTTCAGGGGACTTACAGATAACAACTGAGGTGGATGACCAAGGGGAAGGGATTTCTTGGGGCTGAGCAATGTGTAGCAAGCACCGAAAGTATTTGGTGAATGGGTGGATTTGGACGTTCTAGAGAAGTAAGATAAAGGAATGATAGCAGCTGTGATGGAAACAGGAATTTTTGTGAGAAATTGAGGAGCCATTGCAGTGTAGTGGTTGGAGGGCTGTCCTAGGACTGGGGAGCCCCCTCTTCAAATCTCCACTCAGCCATGAAGCTTATTGGGTGGCCTTGAGCCAGTTACCATCTTTCAGCCTACGGTGAGAGGGAACTATGTACAATGCCTTGAGCTCCTTGGATGGAGGACGGGACTATAAGGTAAGAGGCTTCTGCCTGAAGTGGGCCTGGAAAGCACTGCCCTTCTTGGAGGAATGGTTTCAGAAATGTGTGGTGCAGACTCCTGTTTGAAGCTGTGGTATTCCTCAGGGGCTATCCATGCCACTTAACATATGCGTGAAATCACAGTGAAGGATTGGCAGGTGCTGATGGCACCCAATCCCAATCCAAAGAAGCTGTTCTCATCCTAAATCATCGGCCAATGGCCTGAATGAGGGTGAGCAAAGTGAAGTTTAATGTAGACAACACAGAGGTGCTGTTGGTTAGTGCTAGCCAGGGTTACCCTGCCCCTTAAGAATCAGGCTTACAGTTGGATTTGGCCTGAACCTAGATGTCCAGATTTTGGCAGTGGTCACAAGTGAGTTTACACAGCTACACCTCTATAAAGCTCATCTAGCTGCAGACACACATGCCTTTATTAGATCCTGCTTGGATATCCTATAACATGTTCTACCTGATGCTGCCTTTGAAAGCTTCTGAAACTTGGGACCAGGCTGTTGACTGAGGCCAGTCATGGGACATGCATGACTCCCTTTTACAATTGCTTCACTGGTATCCACTCTGCATCAGGGCACAATTTGAAGTGCTGGTTATGACTGATAAAGCCCTGTACAGCTTCGAACCCAGTTACCAAGCAACTTTTCCCATATAAGTCTTCCAGGCTTAAAGAAATTAAAAATAGACTCTTCTTGCTGCACCACTGCCTTCAGAAATGAATTTGGTGCTGCAGTTTTTCCACATAGTTCCTCCTAGGATGGAACTCTATGCAAAGAGAGGCTACTTTGGCTCTTTTTTCTCCACTGTTTTTCTGTTGGCCAACAGGTTTCTTGCATTACGTGCTATTTTATTTTGCTGTCAATTTTCAACAATGTTTTTTAATCTATTTGCTGTAACCTGTTTACCTCTTATGGTTGCTCATCACCTTGAGCTCCATTTTCTTGGTAGAATGGTGAGCAGAAATGAAATGTAATTAGGCCTCGGTAAACAGAGAAAAGGACGAGATTAATGTTGGAGATGCCAGAGAGAAAGAATCATGGCTCCACTGAAACACAGGTCATTGGGGGTTTTACTTCTTCCTTCCTGAAGGAGACTACACTGATTCCAATGCTATAACTCACACCATTTGCCAGGGTCCTTTGATCCAAACACCACTTCTATACATCCATGGGAGAGCTCCCAGAAAAGCTTTGTAATGTTGTTGCTTTTGCATGTCAAGCCTGCAGGCACATAGGGAGGACCTTTGCCTTTTTTTCATGCATGTGAAAGCACATGAAAACCACCTGTACACCCAAAGTAGGAAATGCCACCCCCAGTGCCACCCCCAACTTTTCTTCTCTCTTTCCAAAGCTGCTTGTACTTTAGAGCACATGACAAACGAATTTGAATAAATGGTTATGAGCAACTCTAAATCTCTCAAGGGAAAGTTGACCCTGCTACTCATTAGATTAACCCAAAATAAAATCAGTTTCTATAAAATAAATATATTAGTATTTTAAAAGGCATAACTTTTGCAACATGAAGATGGTAAACACAGACCTGTGTCACAGTCTTTACAAAAACATTGAACATATTTGAATAAATCAAATAAATTCCTGGTGGAAATTATTTTTCTTAATCATATGTACTCCTAGATTGTTAAGTGCTTTCTTCATCACTATAGATTACCAAGATATTGCTTCTACAGCACCCCTTTCCATTAATAGCTTCATCCTTCTCCCTGTTTTCCACACTGTTATAATGGACATCAGACTAAGGCAAGAGCTGGACCCTCATCAGTTCGGAGAAGCATTTAGAGGCTGCATTCCAGTGGTGGGTGAACCAATTTATGGTGGTGGGGGAAATGCACCATGTCGTCGCACCGCTTCTTATTGCCACTAACGAAGCCTTAAGAGAGAGATTCATAGAATCATAGCTTGAAGTAGAACTGGAAAGGGCCAGACGCCACCAGGTCCAACCCCCTGCTCAGCGCAGGATCTGCAATTAAACCTTCCCTCTCAGATGGCTGCCCAGTTGCATCTTGAATGCCTCTGGCCTGGGAGAGCCCACAACCTCCCAGCTCTAACAGTCAGGACTTTTTTTCCCCTGATGTCCAGTTGGATCCTGGCCTTCCTCTGTGTGACAGCCTTTCAAGCACTCGTTGAGTGCTAGAGTGAAGGAAAACAACTATGCACAACTCTGAATGTTTTCCCGAGTTCCAGAGTAGGTTGTGTTTTGCTACTAGTGTAGCAGATGAAATAGCCTGGATTTTTGGACCTTTCCCATCATATCTAGTATGGTCTTCAAGTGTGACGATGTCTTTCCTAGCTCTTTGGAGATCTTTGTTCTGACTTGGTGAAAGAGAGGTGATGTGCCATGAACTTCACAGCCAGCGTGCTTCCTGAATCTGTGGAAGAGCGGAGTCTATTCTCACGCAACAGTTATGGTTGGGTAAAAGCTAGTCTGAATTCCCACTGATACCTCTGGGTGTGGATAAAAGCCCCTGGGAAATCATTTCTGTCCCATTTTCCTGCCTCTTCAATGCTTTACATCTGAAAACAGCACAAACCCTGTGCCTCTGTACTGTTGCATTTTATCCTGTATCTTCACATGTGACCATATCTTCATTGAGAGAAGCTAAATATGGCTTAACTGCTGATGCTTAACTCTGCATTGAGAAAAGCAAGAGGTTCACAGCTTTTTTCTGGTCTTGATTTTCTACTGCATTCAATATTTTAATTGTACTTGGCACTTCATATTTTATAGTAAACACTATTTTAGACAAACATGGGCTTCTTACAAGAAGACAAAGTGCGAAATTAAATCATGAGATATCTTTTCTGAGGTCTCCTTTTTATTTTAATGTGGTTTTGTGGTATTTTAACAGGAGCATTTTCTAAAGTATCATCAGTAGTGGAGGGCATTTTCTAAAACACATGAAACTAGTACGCTTAATTGCACTCCAAATGCACTACCGGAGCCATGGTGCCCCTCCTTTCAGTCTCTCCATCTCCAGCTTTCTACTTCACTGCTCACCTCTCTGCCTCTGAAGACATCTCCATTTGCTTTAACAATCTGAAGCCCATCTTCAGTTGCTATAACAATCATGCATTGAGAAAATGAAGATCTCTGTCAATACAGAGACACACAGAATAAGAGAGATGAATGTTACATGGCTGGTGATATAGATTCAAGGTGATCACCCTTCCCCCTCCCTTCTCTTCCAACAGCCTCTTTATTGAAAGGGAGCAGTTGGAAGCATAGGAGCTGCTAGTGAGAACCAAAATGTTATTTGAACTGCTGCTTTCTCTAAAGCAGGAGTGGACACTGGAAGCTGGAAGCTGGAAGACAGCATTGCCTTCTGCAGCACCTGCCGGAGGAGCCCACCTGGGGAGGAAATAAGTTGTACCCGCTCCACCTATGGCTGAATTCAGTGCCATGGCCACATCAGTCCCAGAGCAAGCAAGAATCATGGCAGCGCTTCAGAGCCGTAAGGCAGACAAGGGAGCACAGCATCGCATCCTAGCAGAACTGGACTCCAGGAAACTTCTGAGGAGCAGGGCTCTGCTTGCAGACAAGGCACACTCTCCCTCTTTTTCCCCGTTGCCTTGGGAAACCATCGTGCTTCCTGCTACCAAGGAGGTGGTAAAATTGGCAGCTGTGGTGGCCAGAGGCAAATGTCTGGCTGTGTGAGCAAAACTGGCTGTGGAGCCTTAGTGGCCCCATCCACAAGTGTGTGCCTTCCCACACATGTATGCGAGAGGGTCTGATTCCCCAGGTACAAGGACTTATGATCTCACAAATGTGTGGGATGCTACAATTCCAGCTGTGTATTCAAAAACCTTTTTATGGCTATTGTGAAATAAATAAAAGTATTGTGAAATAAAACAAACAAACAAATAAAAGTGTATAAAAGTGAAATAAATCAATAAACAAACAAGCATGGCCATTTGATGTTTTCTTTTCATTTCTTCCAACATATTGCAGTTTTGTCATCACATAAGATGGCATGGACTATTTATATATTTTTTAATTATTTTGATTTATATACCGCTACCACACTCATAACTGGGCTCCCCGTGCAGCTGACAACACTGAAAAAACAACATTCTAAAATCAGCGAAACTTTAACAAAACATCCATAATACCAAAACATACATTTGCCATCACATTTTGCTGTAAGGAACCCTGCTAGAGATGGTTTGGTCCTATTCTGACAATATTCAGTGCCAGGTTGCCTGCCCTTTCCATAGACAAAACTGAAACCATAGCTGTGACTAGGTACCACACATAGTTTTAAACATACTCACCTTCATCATAAAAACCAGACTGGATCTGCAGGATTCTCGGGAGTGATTTTGGGTCCAAGGAGTGGATGAAACTCTTCAGGCTGGAGGTCATGGTCTGTAGAACAGCAGGAAGATTTGGTGTTCAAAGGCAAACACCTCATGAGCTGCCCTTTCTTTGCTCTTCCTGTGCTTGACAAGCAAGCCTGTTCAATCTGAAGCTAACTCTCTGTTGAAAAAAGAGGTTCTCAAGCTTTTGCGCTGTGGAGACCACTTCCTCTAGGTTGGGGTAAGGCATAGGAAGCTCAGAAAGCTGCACTCATGCGTATGCCAGCTTGGCTACATGAAAGGCAGTCTACATAGCCAACGCTGCTTCCAGAGCAAGGGCTATCAAAGAACTTTGTCAGTGAGGGTGTGGTTTGGGATCCAAGGCAGCTGCACTAACACAGGTCATGAACTGAGCTTGTGATAGGGTAATATTGAGCTTCTAGGACAATGCTCTGTTTTGTCTTTTGTCTTCTTTTTAAATCAGTTGTGAAATGTCTTTGAATGGTTAAGATGAAACTGGCTTGTACTACATGCTACTCCTGTTCTGTAGAACTCAAAACGAGGTAGAACCCTTTCAAAAGTGATGTGAGATCTGCCACCTGCTATGGCTCACTAAGCAGGAATGCCTGTAGCAGTGACTGGACAGGCTGGCTGTGGGTGCAAAGCAGAATGCAGGGACCGAATGGCAGCAAACCAGACAACATGCAGGGAACGCTGCTTGGGATGGTCCCTGGTCCAAAACGCTTCATGCTATAGAAAATGAGGGGATAAAAATGCCAGCTCCTCTTGTTCTGAGTTGTGCTGCTCTTCTATCTTCAGGGATAACTTTACGTAGGAAAGCTTTTAAGAATATGATCTCATACCTGCAGAACAATAGCATGACAGTCCTTCTACCACTTCTGCATTCACCAAAAGTGGAGTGCAGATGATCTCCTCACGTGTGCTGAAAAGGTCCTCTTCAGGTAACATCTCCTGCAGCCTGTCTACAGAGGAACAGAGGAAGAGCAGCTTCCTGCTGAATCAGCGCACGGGTCCATTTAGCTGGTCACAAGCCAGCCATGACTCACAAAGGTTGCTAGCAGGCTTCTTTTCTGCTACCTGGAGCTGCTGGGACTGGCATCTGCCCACACCCCTGGCTGGTGACACATTCCACCAGCATTAGAAAGAGCTTTCCAAGTAGAGTTCCTTCTTGGATGTATCGACTGTGCAGAAAACCTCTGCTTGTTGCAGGAGGGGTAGCTTTCTCTATATAGGCCCTATCAACCTGTATAATCCCCTGCCCCCTGATAATTGTGTAACCCTTTTTAAATTTCACTTTTAACATAGAGCAATCCTTTGGACAGCTGTCAATGCAGTGGCTTGCACTTTTGCATATTCTTAAGGTGGTAGAATCAAAGGGATAAGTGCAAAAGTGAGGATGCTCTTGGGATACATGAGTTCCTTTTCCCCAACCCCCTCCCCCAAATCTTGCAGTGAAGAGAATGAATGAGGCACCACCCCAATTTCATGAGCTAAGAACTCACATCCCTTTGCTTAAAGGGGACAGCTTGTCTTTTGACAGCTGTCAAAAAGAGACAAAGGGGAACATAAAGCTACTTGCCACTTCTGTGTGACAAGGGTGGGTACCCGCTCAGGGTGGGTGCCCGCTGGACTTTGACCACAGACACTCCCCTGAACACTGCCCACTCAAGGGGTCCCATTCTCACAGTCATGTGACTCCAGACAGCCCGGGTTGTGCAAATGTAAGTGAAACATTTTTTTTCTGATAGACAGGTGTAGATGCAGATGTATTCTTCACAAATACTTCATTGTTCATAAATAAATTTGACTACCCGCAACAAGAGCAATTCTTACTTAGGGTACTTAGAATTGGACTCTAAGGCATTTTTAGATCGTGCTTTAGATTACTGTATCACTATCACTTTAGCACTATGATGTCAAGTGAACATTGAACAAGAAAACTGGCCAGCAGATCAAACTCAACAGATAGAAATGCCATATCCAACCAGACCACCTTCAAAACCCATGTTTCCCAACAGAGGCAGTTCTGCACATTCAGCTGGTAAGTGCTAACAGAAAACTAATAATGAATGCTATTAAGTCAGTGTAAGCAAAGAAATTTAAGTTGAAACAGCTTGGGAAATTGTGCATGAATGAGCTGAAACAGTCTTGGAAGAGATGGGAATACTGTAACTAGCATAGCAAGGTCTCTTCTTCATGAACCCAAGGTGCCCTAGCATTGCGTCATTCGTTGTAATGCCCCGTCATGTTGTCTCCAGCACAGAGACTCTATGCATGAATGCCCTCCAAAATGTTGTGTGCTTGACAGCCCTGCTCAGCTATTGCGAATATAAGACTGTGGTTGTCTTTATGGAGTCCATCTATCTCTTACTTGGTCTTCCTTTTCGTCTTCTGCCTTTGATTTTCCCTAGCATGATTGCTACCCAGCATGTCTTGCTTTCTCTCAAATGCTCAAAGACTAACAGCTTCAGTTTCATTATTTTCCTTCTAGGGAAAGTTTTGGATTGATTTAATCTGGGACCCACTAGTTTTTCTGCCAGTCAAGGATATTCTAGCTCTCCTCCAGCACCATCTTTTGAAAGCATCAGTTTTCTTCACTGTCCAGCTTTCACAGTCAGATGTAGTGATCAGGAATACAATAGAAAGATCTTATCTTCGGTCTCCCATGAAATAGCCTTAAGCATGGCATTCTTTTCTAGTTCCTCCATTGCTCCCCTTTACAGTCTGTCTTCTTTGGATTTCTTGGTTGTAATCTTGAACCAAAATATGCAGAATCTTTCACAGTTACAATTTCTTCATTGTTAGCATTAAAGTTGTATAATTCTTTTGTAGTAATGATTTCAGTTTTCTTAATGTTCAGCTACAGTCCTGCTTTCGCGCTTTCTTCTTTCACTTTCATCCGGAGTCATTTCAATTCATTGCTGCTTTCTGCCAGTAATATGGTATCATCAGCATACCCTAAATTATTGATGTATCTTCCACCAATTTTCTCTCCTGCTTCCTGCAGCTAATCCAGCTTTTCTTATGATATATAAAGAATATAAAGTTCAGGTACTCTCTAATGTTTTTTTGTGTTATCTGTCAAGGCACAGAGGTTCCTTTTGCTGATGGATCACAGTGGGAAATTAGACTTTATATTAAGAAAAGAGATAATTTTAGATGCTGTTCTAGGTAATAAAAGTCAGTTGAAGCCAAGTTGGGTAGCATAGCTAATAGCTACAAGGGATGAACCCTCAGAGATTAAAGTCTCAGCTTCTTCATTGTAGAACTGCCAAGCATATTCTCCAAATCTCATGAAAAAAGAAAAAGGAAACACCAAGAAGATGACAATAAGAAAATACTTCTTCATTGCTTTGTCTTGTGCATCATTACAACATTTTGGATTTTGGACTTTTTTTATGGTCAACAGAGTCACTTCTGTTTTTTAACCCCTCTCAATAAATTAAATAACCATAAAATATGAATAAATATACATTAAAGTTAAATAATCAACTCATCATTCATAGCAGAACAGGAAAAAAACCTGAATGGAAGCAAGAATAAGACCAAGGCCCTGAGCAAGGCCCCACTCTGATGGTCCCTAGGCACATTCTGCAGCCCCTGTACAATCAATCCAGCAGGCCACCCAGGTGAGCTGAACCTGCCAGGGCCCAGGCCTCGCTGGACTCATGGCCTGCTGCTCCCCTTTAGCCTTCCCAAACCATGAACCTTCCAGATGTGCTGACCAGCACAAACTGGGAGGTCTGGGTGTGCCCAGTTGGTTGGCCCCAGGTCTGGGCCTGGCCTCTGCACCCTTCCTCCCAGCTCTTTGTGCTTGTTGCAGGACAGTGAACTTGCTAGCCACGCCATCGTCTCTGTTGCCTTGGGCGTTGGGTCTCCAGCGCAGAACGGGGGCCATGCAAGCTTGTCACTGAAAAAGAAGAACAAGCCTCCTGGGCAAATGTTCCCAAATGAAGAACGCCTTTGCCTCCTTGAAACAAACGCAGTGAATAAAGCACAAACACCATTGCTTCTTCGCCATGGTGTCTGCTAAAGTGGCATTTTTTCTTCTTCCTTCCTTTAGACCTGTCCTCATATTTTTTTCCCTCCCTCTGTCTCTCTGCTCTTTTAAACAGGGCTTACTTCCCAGCAGGGGCAGCTGGAGACACTGACAAAATCCAGGCCAAGCTAATCCAGGGCAACATTAAAAAGGGGAGAGATATTTGCATATGTTCTATATAATTTCTGGATATTCTAAAGCTCACGCACTGGTTTAATGGATGCTACCTCCTAAGGACACCTTAATTCATAAAAATAGATGCATAAAAATGGGCAGGAGAGCATTTGATTTCAGGGACCAGTGAAAAGAAATTCAGGGCAGTTTTCAGAAAAAGCAGGAAAAGTCAAGGGCTGGGGCAGACATGAAGCACATGTGGGCAAAAAGCCAGGCAGTTCAGGGGAATCAGACTCAGCAGAGACCATTAGGGCTCCTGGGGCTCTATTTCAGGAAGTGCCCATGGACAGCAGGGCGATGGGCAGAGGGCATCCCAGAGATGTGGGGCCCTGAATGAAAGTTCCAGGACGCTGGCTCAGCCAGCAAAGTTCTAGCCTCACTTCTGCTTCTGATGTATATGCGCTGGAATCTAGACCCATTTGGTGTGTTGTCCAGTCATAAAGGCTGCTGTAACAGCGGTTGACAAGCCTGTCCCAGTCTTGCATGAAACACCTTTCTTCATCTCTTCCCATTTTATTATATTATATTTTATTTTTGGCAAACTGCTAAAAAAGTATCTAGCAGATACTTTTTTAGTCTGCTCATTGTCTTTATAGTGGAGAGGGGCAGGTGCAACCTTCCTACTTTTTAAAAGCAGCAAGACAGGACTGATCTGCAACACACAGGAAGCCTCCCCTCTCATCTGAAGGGTCGTGGAGAACAGCTACTGGCTTCTCAATAGGGGCAAAGGTGCTGCTTGGTCTGACGGAGGGTGGGGCTCCTCCAATTTTGCCCTGATTTAGGTTTGGGCGCTCCACCCCCCCCCCCACTGTCTCCAAGGCCCCACCACCAGCAGAATTCTTCATGGGAAGCA